GAACGCACACATATATATAAGCACATACTTATATCTATTTTTAGGTTTTTAAATTCTCACCTTACCAGAAGCAGTTTCTTTGCAAGTCTCCACAGAATTACCGTCATTTTCAAAAGATATAAACCTTGCTTCTTTCTCCAAATCATTCTGCCTTTTCCGTTTTCTTGTCATTCTTATAGATGAGCTGTTGTTGGAATTAGCCTTCATATTATTTAAATCAGATGTTCTCTCCTGGTGAGACTTTAGCAACTTTTCCACTTCTCTAGAAAGAGCTTCATCTGCCACAGTTTACATCCAAATCATCAACATAGAAGAAGAAATGAAATTGAAGTGCGCTCAAAGAAAGGTACATTAAAATACTGTAGTGAACTTGCATTCACAAAAGAGGCAATGAAACATAACCAAACTCCAACATTGAATATAGATTCCCATCAAAGTTCAAACCAAAAAGATTAACTAGGTAAGCTATCATAATGGTAAACCACACCGTGATTCCCTTTTCAGTAAGGAATTGATCAGTAAAATACGAAAAGTAACTAAAACAGTTTCAGACTCAAAGCAATTAACTAAAAACTAAAGTTAGCTAATTTCTGTTGCAAATCTAAACAAGTCCGAAGGATTAATAACTACTATATTCTTTGTTTCTTGAGAGGAATAAGTAAATCACAAAGTAACTTTAAAGAATCATGAAAGTCTCATTGAAAGGAAAATCAGATTCACTTTCCCAAAGCCAACAATACTGCCGGATATAAAACAAATTAGGTCTGTCAACCTTAACTAATATTTATGACTTTGCTAGAAACAGAATCCACATCCAAAGTACCAGTATGAAGTGGAAATTTGCCTATTTTTCTTTCAAGTAAATAAATGCCAATTAGAAAATATGGCGTCATTTGATCCACGAAACTGACACTAATTGTGACAAAAGGCTTTTGGTCATTGTGGAAGGGACAAGGTAATGCAAACTGTCAAAATATGAAAGCCCACAATAAAACATCCATGCTAATTTTTTTAACAAGCATTTAACTTAAATTTAAGAACCACAAAAGAAATCGAAAGTCTCACTTTTCTCTCTTTCCTCCATCAAAAGCATCTGACAATCTGTAATCTCTTTATCCTTGGCTGCCCTGAAATTTAAAGTAAAAAATTTGAGTATACCAACAATATAAAACATTCCTTAAAAATCAACAACAGAAAAGAAATTAAAAAAAAAAAGGTTAATCGCATGATTCAGTCTTATTAGTTGTAGATTCTCAATTTGGTCTCTATATATAGAAAACTTCTTCAGCCAATCCCTATAATAGTAAGCGTTAAAGGTTTGGTCCCTGCCACCATCAATCCCCTTATACATTCTTAACACATTTGTAATTTGGTCCCTATATGTGCAGATCAAATTAAGAATTAGAGATAAGTAAGAGGTTAACAGTCAGAGTATGATAACACTGACTAAATCAGCAAGGTAACTGTAAGAATCAATTTAATAAATGTTTACATGTAAAGACCAATTTGAGAATTTACGACCAGCATATGAACTAAATTATATGCTTAAAAAAAGATGCATTTTGAAAACGTGCCTAAGTGAAGCCAATTCAGTTCTCAACTCATTGACTTGTCCAAGAAGCTCTTCCTTTTCGCTCTTCAAGTGCTCAATCAACTCTTCCGCAGCTGAAACACCCAAAGTCTTCGAAATTCATAACACGTTCGTTGTTCTTCCGGTAAGTCACGCAGAAAGGGACGAAGAAGAAACGTACCGGACAAGTAATTCACGAATTTAACTTCTTGCTCTTTGTTTAGGTGATCCAAATCAGAGAGTTTCTTAGACTTCAACGATAAATAAAACGAAGAATCAGTAATGAAGCGTAATAATCTTTGTCGGTTATTGATGAAAGAACAAACCTTGAGTTTGGTGTACTTGTCGTAGAGCTTCGAATACAGAACCTCCATTGCAGATACACACGATTTTCACTGCACTGGTTTGGGACTGGCGCACAAATTCAAATTAGGGCTCGACAAAGGCGATTCAGTTTGAACGATTGATACGCACCGTTTGCTCCCATCTAACTCTTGGGTCGGGTCCCAAGACTTCAATTGGGGTAACTTGACCCGTCTATAATTGGATATCTTTTTGGTGAGGCTTTCTTCCTGCACTCCACGTTTTTCTTGTACCACTCCCAACCATCATTGTGATTCCCATTATAACCCTATAAAATATATATTTAAAGTATTAAATTAATTAGGTAAGTAGTAATTATTTCTTACCCACCATATTTAGTGTTGTCATGCTATATTTAGTTCTCCAAATATCCTAAGTCATATTCAATAGTGTTTTTTATTCGTTATTCTTCTTCCTTTCAAAGGGATTCTTCTTCTTTTACTTTTTCTTCTTCTTCAATAGTTCTTCAATGCATTTATATTTCATTGTTGTTTACGTTGAAGCTTAGAGATATTTACTTCATTCTTTTTCATTTTCAATGTTTTTCTTTTTTAGTTTTTCATAATTGTTTATTATTTTTTAAAATCATATTTGCATGATGTAAAATCTTGTTTGATGTAAATACTGGATTTTGAAACTGAGCGTATGAGTGTCCTAGATTTTAAAATATGGTTAAAAAATGTATTACATTTTGAAATCTAGTTCTCTATTCTCTTGAATTTCGAAATTCAATTTTGTTATTCCTTGAATTTTAAAATTTGGTTAAAGAGTTTCTCAAATTTCAAAATCCAGTTATTTTTTTTTTAATTTGGCTTGTTTTTGTTTTATGAGTTTATTTTTATCTTCATTTTAGTTATTATTATTGCTATTGTATGCTCATGTGATGTTGTATGTAGTTAGAATCTTGGTATCTAAGATAGAAGACTATTCTTTAAGTTTTATAGATTTTATGAGAGTTTCATCTCATATTTATCTTCTTTTATAAATGAGATACAATGAATATTATATTAATAACTTCATAGTTAATGAAATATTTCTTATAGTGATGAGTTTTTCAATGGGTTCAACAATTGTTTCAATCTTAGTTTTGTTGTTATGATTGTAAGTTCTGATAAAATTAATGATCAACTTGAGAGAAAGACATATATGTATTGTTAAGACGTGAAAACAGTAAAAAATATAAGAAATATAAATGTGATAACACAAGAAAATATGATTGTCCTTTTAAATTGAGACAAAGGTTAAGTAATGGAGAGGAGTGGGTGTTGAAGATAATATGTGAATATCATAAATATGATTTGTCATAGACTTTAATTGGTCATCCTTATGCTTTTAGGTTAAAACTCAATGAATCTTCATTGTTTATTGATATGATTAAGACTCAAATAAACATGCAAACATTCTCCTCCGAAAGAAAATAATAAATCTAATATAACAACAATAAGACAATTATATAATACAAGATTTAGTAAAAAATAGGAAAAAATTGGTTGAGAAAGAGAAAATGCAAAAAGTTTGAGGAAGAAGAGTTTGAAGAAGGGACTCACACTAAACTAAAACATAATTTAACTTAGGATCGAGGGATTATGCATTTAAACCCGTTTGCTTTTAAATCTAAATATTCAATATAAAAATAAAAATTTAACTATTTTATTTTAATTTAATAATTTAATAATTTAATATAATATTGTCTTTCCTTTTTTAAAACCATACATTTTTAACAATTTTATTTCTTCTTAATTAAGTTTTAAGTTTCTCATATTTTAAATTATTTTTTTTATATGTTGAATACTTAAAATTTTATCTTTTACTTGAGTTACTATCATTTAATTTTTGTTATTTTGTCTTATCATCTTGTTAACTTGTTTATAAGAATAAGAATGGTGAGATTTTGTAATTAATACAAAATAATATTGTAGTTAATGAAAAATAGTAAATGACTTTTAGTATTTTAATTAAAAATATCTTGAATAATAAGAAAATTCTCATGATGACGACAATCGTAGATAATGGTTGCAAGAATCACAACAATCTTATTATAAAACACATTTTTAATTAAAATAATAAAAATTACTTGTATACAATGAGTGCAATACATGAAAAGATTAGATAACAAGCCATTAAGTTAAAAAGAAAAATTAATCAAATGACATTCAATTGAAAATACTCCCAATTCAATTAAGCCTACTTTTTTTTTTCTAAATACAAGTCATTCAAATTTTTAACCTTTTTTTTTCTAATTATACTTACATATAATTAAGAATGATTTAAGGTTTTGTTATTTGCCGGTTTGGTTTAATAAACTGAAAAAACAAATCTCATTCAACTAAAACTAAGTTTACCAATACGTCAATGAAACAAGTACCTAACGTCTTTCATGATTATTTTAATTCGGTGACAACTCTAAATATTAAGCCTACAAAATCACAAATTATTCAAATCCTCCACAATTGTGATGGCTAATTATAGTTTATTTACTCGACTTAACGTAAATAATTTTTTTTTCACCACACACGTTGGTAAGATTGACTTTATCATTTACACATTCGTATATATGAAATCAAACAATAACTATTTACCAACATTTTAAATGAGATATCCCAATTAAAATAAGGTAAAAAACATTAAAGTATCAATAATTCTTTTTAACTACCTAACATTTTTGTGCACTATATTTTATGAGATGTTTAAATAATAAAATTTAGTTGTAATACTGAGCAGCGAGGATGTGAAGGGACCATTACCATATAAATATACCTTTAAAATTACAGGCGTGGCCAGGAAAAAATAATTCCAAGTTCCTTATCATTCAAGCTTAAGAGATGTCCCAATATATATGCAACGATTAAAATGTCTTGATAATAAACGATCAATTTGATACCGTAGCAGCCTTTCCTCGTCAGCAACATGGACTTTGATTCATGGAGTAATTTATACGACAAGATATTTGAAAAAGTAACAACATAAATTTGATTATATTAACAAATATTGACCATTCAAACCTCAAAATCTAATCAATCGAAACATCTGAAAAGCAGCAGCATTACAAGGAAGAATAGAAACAGCATTACAAGAAAGAATAGCTATTATATTTTAATTCTCTGTAATAAAAAAATTGGTGGGACAAAAATGGCTCAAACCTCAGTCGGAACTCAAGCTTGTCCAATATCAACACTATAGCACAACCGGAGGAGCAAAGAACCCTCTACCAAATCTAAAAAATCTAACACTAGTGGTAATAGTAGGATGCTACATATGTCACAAGACTAAACCATAAGGGTCCAACCAATATGCTTACAAACCTGTCATAACCTCAAGCTAACTTTCCTAACTGATTGTGTGTAGAAGATCTGTAACCCATTAATGTATACCCTACAAGCTACGATTTTATGAGAGGCTGAAGTCCATCACCTTCCCAGCCAAGCTTGAGCATTTGATCGACAACTTTCAAGCTTAACTGCAAAACAGTAAGTGGCAGTATTAATAACCATCGAATGGGACAGTTTAGACATTAAAACAATTACAGGCGCAACAGAGAGATTTATTTAGACAAATAGTTGGCCTTCATTTCATGCACATAAAAGGTTCAAATTTCATCGGTGGCTGTCATCAACTAAAGGTTTGATGTTGTAAGAAGAATAGTGGAAATTTCACAACCATTTAAAGTCATTAGTATAAGGCAAAAATATTTTGATTCTGTGCACTTGGTTGGTTCCAGAGAATACACAAAAAGATCAAACCACACAAATGTGATGTAGTGACTACTAATATTATGCAATTTAAGAAACTGCATGGGCAATATATGAAGTTTGTTCTGTTTATCAGTTTACAATTCAGGAGAATTAAAAAAAATATTTACTTTGTATCACTACGGTTTTTCTAATTCAGGAGAATTAGAAAAAAGGACTCCAGTTCAAGGGCCATTTGGTATTTCATATGAAAGAATTAACTTACAGCCGGATCAGTAAAGATTATCAATTGCTTATCCAAAGTTGAAACCAAAAGATTTGTGTTATCCTTGTTTAGAGCCAGAGCTGTGATATCCTGCCCTTCTTTCAGCTTCAATACATGAAATACCTACACAAAAATGTAGAGAAGACTTGCTTTCAATGTTGCTCTTTCAGATAAAATGCCTAGTTTCGGTGCACAAAAATGAGGAATTGAATGCCGCACTTTAATGTGTCAAAAATCGTAAATGCAAATTTAAATCTGAAATTTTAATGCTGTACCTCGAGCGTGTGCATATCCAGGAAGCAAATAGATGGCGATGGAACATCTATTCCAGAGTTTTCAAAAGTTTCTTCTGATTCTGAAAAAAAATTGTCACCTGACTTATGCGAGTTTGGACTATTATTATAGGGTCTACCATTTTCAAGGGAATTTATTCCAATCAAAGCACTCATCCCATCAACTGAAATTTCTATGCAACTGATACTGCAAAAGAGAGACAATTGTGTTCTTGCAATTGGAGTACCATTAAGTGTAAAAGTACTGAGAGTATGCTGAGATTCATTCCAAGTCATTACAACCCCCTCAGAGGAAAGACAGACAATATGGGCCTCCACACCATCCAGCCTTCTAATTAAACGCCCCCTTCTTATAGAGTGCAAGAGGACATCTGATGAATGGGAGCAAGAAACAACTATCCCAATATCCGAGTTAACACAACAACTAAGTATTTCAGTGCGGTGGCCCCGAAGAACCTGTATGGGACCTTCAATTCGTCGTCTCCTGTCTTTTTCTAGCATGTGCGATGAACCATTACTAGTTGAAGATGATGTGCCTGTTCCAGCGGAATGTTCTGACATGACACTTGTGTGGGATGCAAGTGCCCTATGTATTCTCCAGAGTAATACTGTGGTGTCTCGGGATCCTGTCACTAGGTAGTTACTATCAGGTGAAAGACCGAGGCATGTTACAGGAGCACAATGCCCATAAGCTGTTTCTAATGTTTTAGCTCCATCTGAGGATATTAGCCTAATACTACTATCAGCATGCCCACCTAATCAATCAGAAGCAAAACTACAAAATTAGATGTCAAATATTACGTATACAAAACCAACTACAACAAAATGTAGTCCATGTTTGTAAAACTCTGTAAGAGCCAAGACCATGAAAAAATATATATTTTATTGGTCACAGATATGCAGAATTGTAGATGTTACAATGCTTTTGGATGCTAAATTTGATCACCATACAAGCAATGTTTTAAAACTTGGATTTGTATTGTAGGTATAGCCACTGCTTCTCGGTTCATGGTTCATTGGTTCAACGTTGTTGAATTGTGGTTGAACCACTACCAGTTAAACTTTTTTTATATTATATAATGTATAAAGTAATAAAAAATGTAATGTTATAAGAAATTAAGATATAAAAAAAATAAAAATTACCATAATTATATTTTTGGTAAGATAAGAAATACTAGTAATGGGAAAAAATTATTTATAACTAAATGTAATCCTTAAATGTGTTTTTTATTTATCTTAAAATTTTTTAGTTTAAATTTAAAATAGAAATGGAAAAATTTGACAAATACTAGTTCAAACTGGCTTTCTGCACAGTTTTGGACCTTTTCTGAAATGAACTAGCTTTTTTGGAGTTACCAGACTAGACACTAGACTGATTTCCAGTCATTCCATCCCAGTTTTTAGAACTAAGAATAAAAGGAAACATTATAACATGAAAATAATCCCACACAATTATGGTTCAAACCCTACCAAATATTCCATGTAGTGGATAAATAACACTATTCAATTAATTCGAAGTATTGCAAGCATTAGTATAAAACCACCAGAAGAGCTCGCTTTATAGATAAGAGACAGGATATCAAAACAATCTTAAGCCTTTCTAGATTTACCAGTAATAACTTCTTTGTTGCATGTTATAGAAACAACAGCTTGGCTTCTAATTCCAGATGCAGCAAATGCTACTGCTTGGGGGAATTGCCACTCGACAGAAGATGTGGCTGGTGCTTTGAACATGCGCATAATAGTACCACCAGCAGAGGCTAATGTAGCTTTTCTGTGTTGAAAGAGGAAAGGAGTACCCTGCCCATCAGGTGTATTAGGCTGCCACTTGTGTTGTACAACATGAGCTGCTGGTGCATTCATATCAACAACCACAACTGTATCTGAAGATGCATGGATGGCAGCTGCAGGAAGATTGCAGCGTTCTGGGAATGGAACATCATATGGTTTGACTTCTTTTGGATTACGGAATATTGTCTGATATTGAAATATAAACATTGTCACGTACTTAACATTGAAAATGACAGTGTATTTACATACTCTGTACCAAGCACAGTAACTCTTTCATAAACAATAATAGTCAGGTTTACAAAAATCTAATTCCAAAAAATTTCATTTACATCGTTTTAGATTAAAAAAAATGTTTTAGATATCAGGTGTCCCCACACATTTAAAAATCAGCATATATTTCCTAAAAAGAACACTAGTGATCAGGCTGAGACAAATATTAAAAGCTAAATATTCTAAGTTACAACAAAAAGTGAATTCACTGATAAAAAAGAAAAATGGAATTCCACATGTGTTAGGAGAGGGTGAGTTTATGAGAAAAGGAATAAAACATTAAATGCCTAACGGCCTTAACTGCCTTAGCAGTTAGGAGGAACGGGGTTATTGGTTGTATAAATAACAAATAAACAATTGTAGTTGTGTGAATTGTTTTGTTTGTAGTTCTAACCTAACAATCATCGTGAGGGGGGAGGTTAGGCTCTCTAGAGGGAGGTTATGCTCCCAAACCCAGTCCTTGTAAAGAGATTCTTTTACGGTGAATAATAGCAAAACACATTCTTCCATTACTATTTCTATCTTTTGAGTGTGTTCTTGTTAGGTTCCAAACCCAGGAACCTAACAATTGGTTCGACCTGCCGGATCGAAGTGGGGGTGAAGGATCAAGAAACTGCCGAATCCAAATTGGGCACGAAAACGATAATGGAGAGAAGTACAGAGGGGCGATTGGAGGCAATTGAGATCACTATGGAGGGGATGAAGGCGGAGTCTGCCGCAGTACGAAGGGACTTACAACAGATAATGAGGATACTGGGGCTACAGGTTAATAACACGGAGGGGCAGTCGGACGATAGCTCCGTGAACGAGAATCCACGGCAACGAGAGGAGGATGTTGGAGGCAGAGGGGTCGGCGACCGCCAGGAAGATCAGAGACTGTGGCGGAAACGGGTGGATTTACCCACATTCGAAGGGCTGGAACCCCTTAGTTGGATCAATAGGGCGGAGCGATTTTTGTAAAGAGATTCTTTTACGGTGAATAATAGCAAAACACATTCTTCCATTACTATTTCTATCTTTTGAGTGTGTTCTTGTTAGGTTCCAAACCCAGGAACCTAACAACATGCCTATGTTGGATAATCTAATGAAGTGCCAAGAATGTATCAACAAGAAGAATCCGAAAGAATATTTAATCAAAATTGCAAGCAACATGAATTCAAATGAGTTCACAACTTGCTGTGAATACTAATAGTCAATACAGATGCAGCTTCTGAGGAAAGTATAATATTGGAATAATGTCAATGTTGCTTATTTTTAGAACCCCATAAGCACGGCTTTCTCGCACACACATGCAAGCATAGTCTGGTTTTTAACTCATTCGTTTGTTTGGGTAACAATAGAGCAAAAGAAAATTGGGATAGAAAAAGGATATAATACTGCTACATTTCACCGTTTCTTTGAACAGAGAATCAGGAAAGAAGGAAGTTACTTTGGTAGGACCCACAAGAAATGTTTTCCCTCCAAATTGGAATAAAATGCGAAGGAAATCACTCTCCTTATCCATCTGGCTTAATTTTTACTTAAAAATAATATAATTTAAATAACTTTATGTTTTGCAAAGATTTCAGATTAAAATTATTTTGTCGTTATAAAAGTGTTTCTATCTAATTTATTTCTTTACACTCATTCAAACAAGAAAAGAATTTCCTCAACTCTTATTTATATCCGTTTAAACATGTTTTTCCATTTTATTTCTCCTCTATGTCTACAATTATTTATTTCCTTTGCATTATCCCTAAATCCCAATCCAAACAAACATGACAATGCTAAGGGAAAATTGCAGATACCTCCGTCGAGGTCATGTTAAATAACACTAACATCCGTATAGTTTTAAAATAGACATTTACCTTATTTTGTTAATACATATTCACATTTTTCATCTTTCTTATGTTTTTAATAAATGACATTCACCTCCCATGTACTTTTAATAAAGTAACACTTGCTCCCTTAATTTTAAATATCATATTGACAAAAACTAAAAAAATATGAAAATTTAAATTAAAGGTTAAAAATTTTAAAATCAGGAATCTTTTATAAACTGTTGTTAGTTGCTAGTAGGATATTAAATGTACTACTACTAGGAGTTGTTAGAAAATTCATAATATCTCTTTTTAATCATTACTTTCTTTATAACCAGAGGTCAATGTATCCTTTCAAATCAATCAATTGAATAAAAAAATCTTTTTTTTTTCTTCTTAGATTAATCCTTTCATGTTAGTATCAAAATTCTCGATCTCGTGAACCCTGCTTCTGTATTTCTTCTTTCCCATCTTTGTTAGATATATTATATCTTTTATCTTTTAGTTAGTTTGCTATTATTTCTTATTTGTATTTTGGGCTTAGCCCATATTTCTTCTATTATAAATAGAGAACCCTATGTGTGTATTTAACATAAGGGAGATTTCTCCTAATCTTCTTCACTATATTCAATATGGTATCTAGAGCACAGGAATAGTTCCCGCCAACTCCACGGTCTCCGGTACCCATCCCTGCCGCTGTCCAGGCACCGTATGCTTCCAACCACTGTAGGTCCCCATCACCTCGTCAGTTAGTGATGGCAGTCCCTGTAGATTTGTCGCTTCTAGCCACTACAGGCCCCATCAGTCAGTGATGGCAAATTAGTCCCTACAGTTAGTTTTATAACAGTCAACCGCCGCTGCAGTCGCTACCGCCTCAGACAGACACAATTGCGTCAGTTCTTCTTGGGCTAGAGTTTAGCCCGATCTTCTTGTGATACACTGCTAAGTATCACCACTTGGGAGTTGTCCAGCAAAGAATTTTGAACCTCCAACATGTCTTTGGATCTTTGATGCCTTTGTTTCAGCATTGTAACTTAATATTTTGTTTTGTTTTAGTGGTCCAGCAACTGTGATATTCCACATTTCCGCCCTTCACACTAAGGGGGACTACGTTTCCAAGACACTGCAAGTCACATATATATGGGTGCAGTCCCTGCAGTTTTGTAGATTTCAGCTACTACTGTTGATCCCGTCACCCAACCATCATTGATGAGGATTTAGTGTAGTCCCTGCAGTTTTGTAGCTCTTAGCTTTCAGCTACCACTGTTGATCCTGTAGTTTGTCATTGTCCACCACTGCTTTCCTTCATCCACTTTTGAAGTTGAAGTTTCACAAGCTGCTGTTAGTCCATCTATGTTTGCCTCGCACTCTTGAAGACAAATCATCTAGTTCAACACTGAGTTTATCTATTTCAAGCTTAGTTCATACAATTTGTATGCTCTAGCTTGAGGGGGAGTGTTGGATATATTATATCTTTTATCTTTTAGTTCTGTACCTCTCCCTGTTACTGTTGATATTCCTCTTATCTGTGATCCTCCTGGTGATGCTCCACCCATTTTGTCTACTCCTTCTTTAGACTCTCATTCACCACAGGGTCGTCCTTCACCACCACCCATCTTAAATACAGTTCATTTTAAGGTTGCTTAAAGTGCACCTATTTCCCTTGATTATTGGGGCTACCTAAAGTGCACAAGTTGTGGTTCTGTAAATGTTGTTTATGTTGTTGCCACTGGAGTTGCCACCACTGTCATTGTCGAAGCTTTCACCATCGCAGGAGCTATTAATATTATCGTTGTCAGAGCTTTCCGTCTTACTAATCTTTTTATTTAGGATGGTGGTCCTATTATTAATTTTAACATGACAATTCTATTAAGCAATGCTGATCTTCCATACTTGTTTGATGACAACCACCTCAATGATCGAAATTATCTCTATTGGGCTCAATTTATCAAACACATGTTTAAGGGTATGGGTACACTCAACCATATTAAAGGAGAGGTCATATCTTGGGATAACCTAATTTCCAAATTTTAGACAGTAATGACTCACGAATCATGACTACAAAAATAGGTAGAAATTATATGTTCTTGTCTAGTGCCTTGAAATTTGAAAAGACCTTGCAAAATACTTATTCCATGTGATAGGACATCTCTACATCTTATGACTTAGAAATCAAGATCTTTGATGCCAAGCAGGCCACCCTTTCCGTTGAAGAATATTATGTGACTCTACCGAGTTCACTTGAAAACGAGTTTCCTTCCGAGTTGACGTGGAAGCCATGACTAAGGACATAAACTTGTTCGAGTTAACAAGTTAGTGAGTTTGATAACTATGATTACAGTGACGGACATCAAAAACAGGACGCAAGAAATAGGAGCAGGACTTGTGAAAAAAGAAGCTCATGATACCATGTTAATCTTCATCAAAGAGAGAAAGAGAAGAGACATATTTAGCGAAACTGATTTTATTGAAACTGAACTTACTTACAAAGTTCTGTACATGTATATATTTATACCACAAGATGTAGAGTACAGTTGTATAATATGTCAAGGTAACCAACCATACCTTGTTCTGAAACATTTCTCTAAAGGTAAATTTACTCTACTCTTTTCTATGTTGATGACATGATTCGTGTAGGAGATGAACATGAGAAATAAATCTTGAAAGAAAAGATAGTTGCTCAATTTGAAATGAAGGATCTAGAAAAACTAAAGTACTTCCTTGGATAGAAGTAGCTTATTAAAAGAATGACTTCTTTATCTCCCAAAGATTGTATGTTCTTGATCTTACAGATGTAAAACAATTTGGAAGGCCATTTGAGTTCCTATAGAGCAAAACCATAGAATTGGAAATGATGAAGGCAGTTCTATTGTGAATAAAGGCCAATGTCATGTACTTGTGGGGAAGCTCATTTGCTTAGCTATCACTAGACCTGGCATAGCCTATGCTGAGTGTAGTTAGTCAGTTCATGCATGATCCAAGAGATAGTGAAGTACAAGCTGTGAACAAAATCCTTCAATATTTGAAGACAAGTCTAGGAAGGGGACTATTTTTTAAGAGGAATGGAAATTAAAAATAAGAGTTTATACTGATGCAGATTATGCAAGGACTGTCACTGGTAGGAAATCCACCTCAAGATATGATATGTTCTTGGGTGAAAATTTGGTGACCTGGAGAAGTAACAAACAAAATGTTGTTGCAAGGTCTAGAGAAGTAGGAATTCCTCAAATATAAAACAGAAAACAACAATGTCAAATAGAAAATCAATAGAATAAAGCTATCCAATCCCTTAGCATATCTACTAGTTCTCCATTAAATAAATTAGAAGGATAAGATGTAATTTCCTTTTGATGGTCAGTACAGATGTTACTTGTCAATAAAAACTATCTATAAGAAAGAATTATCTGAATGTTGTGTCTAATGACATACCACACAGTATGTAATTAGATCAATTTAAAAAATCAAATACATTAGATTCATGCCTAACAATCAATTATCAATGATCCTAATTTGCTTGAATCTGTAACAGCTAATGGTTAACAAATCTGTAACAGTTAATGACTATTTTCATTCTAACACTATCCAATGATCAGCTGTTACCTGCAAATGTAGAACTTCTGCTAATGGCTTTCTCTTCAAGTGAGGAACAGTCAGAAGTTGGGATGGTGTTTGTCCAAAATAAGCAATCTGATCTTGTATGGCACGCTGTTGTACCTTTATTTGTCATGAATAAAAGAAAATATTAATCTACATAAACATGAATAAATTACGTTCCTACAACCATCTTACAACAGAGTAATTTAAGGTTACATTACATGGTCTTCCCCTATGATTAAATTTAGTATGAATAAATTTATATACTAAAACCTCCTTTCACACGTCCCTCGATTTGTTATCTTTTAGGCAATGTGTTTGGTTTGTGCATAAAAATGAAGGAGTATATGTAGTTCTTTAAAAGAAAAGAAGTGTCAATGCATAAGAATTATACATACGAGAAGGGACTTAGGTATAGTTTTTTTTATCAGTGAGGCCTAGGAGTACAGCTAGAGGTGTCAATTTGACCCATGACCCCGGGGCTAGCCCTAACCCACTCTTGAAGAAGCCCCCTCTTAAAAAGCCCCTCAAATGGGGGCCAAAAAAAAGCCCCAACCCCCAAAGTCCCCTCTCAAGGGGGTTAGGGTCAGGGTTAAAGTGGGTTTAGCCCACTAAATTTTTTTTGAAAACTAAACTTCAACATTCTTAATAGTAACTATTAAAAGTACTAAATTTTATATTCATATAATTGATTTATTATTTAAAATTATTAAATAAAACTAATTAAATATAGTATAATAAAATATTTAATATTCAAAATAACCACTTTTTTAAATAATTAAAAACAATTGCAAACCACACACTTAATTTTATACAACTAAATAGTATTACAAATTTATTTTAATGAAATATTATAAAAATGATTTATTTTGTTGTCAATTTTAATAAAATTATGTCTAATGTTACAAACACCAATTATTAGAAAATTATATATAATTAGTAATATCAAAATAACCCCAAAGAGATATAATAACATATTAATTTGATTTAATATTTGCACTGCTTTTACAGTTCTTAAAAGGAATCACTGTTTTGTTTCCTCGACTTCTAAAATATCACTCAATCTGCTTTTAATTATTTAAAATTAAAATAATTCAAAAATTTATTATCTAAATTTTTTTGATCAAAAATAGTATTAATATTTTATGTGTAAATTAAACTTATATTTTATTTTGTTTTTTTTTCTCTCTGATAATCTTTTCTCAAAATCACCATAAGATATTTTATGTGTAACACATTAAATAATTTATTTTTAACTTTCAATTAGAACACATAACATAAATGTATGTTTATGTTTATATTTATGTTTATGACATTTAAAATGTAAACATTTTGAGTGAATAGTACGACCAGATTGAATTCTATGGGCGAATACAACTTCAATCTGCACAAAGTTTGAGTTTTTTCTTTTTATTTATTATTTTTGTTATGAACATGATTTGTTGAGTATAAAATGAAAAAGAAAATCATTTATATTTAATTTCTTTTTCAATAACTTTCTAAGAAAATAAAGAAGCCTATTTTTTTTAAAGTAAGAGCTTTAATTAGAGAAAATCTTCTCTTAAATTTCAATTAGGATAATTTTAGATAAAAAGTTAATTTCTTACTTATAACTTAAAAAAAAGTGAAATTAAATATTTAAATTTCAAATTTATAAAATGATCCTTTAATTATATACTTAGAGAATCTAACTCAATAAATATTGTCATTTTGCTTTTGCTTCTTGATTTTAGAACTCTCATCTTATAAAAATTTCAATTTATTTTCTATAGTAACTATTTTTGTAATAAATTAAGAGTTAATTATATTTTTTCTTGTATTCAAAATGAACATTTTTTCTAAAAAAAAAGCCCATGGGTTGGCCCTGGCCCACAGGGCTTTTGAAGATATTTTGGCCCTGTGGGCTTTTTCTACGAGGGGCTTTTTGGCCCTGTGGATTTTTTTGGCCCCAACCCACGTGGGTTAGGGCCAAACCATGTAAGGAGGGCCAAATTGACAGGTCTAAGTACAGCTAACCTCAGGGAAGGTTAGCACAATTATCCCAATTTATAATGCATAACTTTTTCCATATAACTTTTCTTATCCACTCAATTACAATTGTTAGCAACATATTTTTTGGATGTAATACAAAACTACTAATTAAGCAAGAATCTTCAAGGCATGGTATCCATGCCTTTATGGTCAAATTGTCTAGAGTTTGATCTATTTCAAAACAATCCATTCATTCCCCTTAGTGGATGTATAATGATCCATCAACTATTTATCAAAATCTAATGGGTCTTCTGATCTATACCCCAAAGATCAAAATTATTCGAACAATTTTTTACATATTTAAACCTCTCCTAAGTTCAACACTTTTAAATTTGCAAATGTTAGAATCTGTTTTATTTATGTCAGAATGATTGTTTTTTATTAGTTATATTTTTTCCTTATTTAACAAATTATAATTATTGTGAATAACAAGGATATCTCTGAATCATAGGGATCTGGTTGTCTAGGAGTTATTATTATGCTACCTAAATGTTGTAATTAGAGAAGATATCTTTAGAATCTTCCTAATTAGAGAAAATAGATATATAATCTTCTATTTTATTTTGTTTTCCTAGTTTCCTTATTTCTCTTTTTAGGAGAATTAGATTATTACAAATAAAGGATATGTGAATGTAATTTTCATGATTGAGAATAATAAAATCAGTCCTATTTTCAACTTGGTGTCAGAGCTCCCGATCTTGGGGCTCCATTCCGCTCCACAGTCGCGCCGCCGCCGCTGTCTGACAACTGCCGCTGCCGTTGTCGCCTGTTAGGGTCGTTGATAGGGCAGAAAGGTGCGCCCAACACCGGCGACCACAACGCCAAAAGTCGCTCTGTGAGAAAACCTGTCATGCGCTGCCACGTGCCTCCACTGTCGCCAGCACGTGTAGCCCACGCGCCCATCTCCGACGAGACCCACTCGCCGCTGCCGCCACTCACAGGGTTGCCGGAGCCTCCTGAGTCTGTTCCTGGGGTCGGTGACGACCCGTTTGGCCTATATTTGAGTAGATTTGAGTTTGAAGTTTTACTCCTTTTCTCGGTGTGACCCACACGCCGTCGTCGTCTCGGAAAAGGTCACCGGAGACTCCTGGTTGCGTTTTACGGGATGTCTGAAGTAAACATTATTCCTCTGGGGTTACCTAATGACCTACCAAATATAGGAGGTAACTGTCGGTTGGATGGTTATAATTTGTTACAATGGAGCCAATTTATTCGAAGGATTCTCAAGGGTCGTTCAAAACTTGATCACATAGATGGAGGAGGACCAGGACCAGACGACACTCATTTTTCAATTTGGGACAATGAAGATTCATTAATTATGACTTGGATGTGGAAATCCATGATTCCTGAGATAAGTAGAAATTATATGTTTCATTCTTCTGCAAAAGAAATATGGGATGATTTACAGAGTACATGTTGTAATAAGAGAAGATATCTTTAGAATCTTCCTAATTAGAGAAAATAGATATATAATTTTTTATTTTATTTTGTTTACCTAGTTTCCCTATTTCCCTGTTTAGGAGAATTAGATTGTTACAAATAGAGGATATGACAATGTATTTTTCATGATTCTAAATAATAAAATCAATCCTATTTTCAACTGTACTTTTTCATTAAAAAAGGATCTTGTTGCTTACTATGACATTGAAAACAAGATATTTAATACAAACCAGGACTCTCTTTCCATATCAGAATATCACGGAATCCTGAATGGTCTTTGGATGGAATTCGATCAGAACCAAACAATAAAGATTATTAAAACAGATGATGCCACACTTGCTGAATTCATTGAAAAGGGAAGAATTTTTAAATTTCTCTATGGCCTGAATCAGGAGTACGACCAAATCTGGGTAGAGATTTTTGGAAGAGAAAAATTACAATCCCTTTCAGAAGTCTTTTTATAGTAAGAGGAGAAGAAACTCGGAGAACTGTCATGCTGAATGCGGGGATCTCTAACACAGACTCTGCCATGACAACTTTAAAGGGAGTCCATAAGGGAGCAAATGCTAGGGGAAAGTCGTTTGAATAAGGTACTCATGAGGACTATTGTTCATACTGTAAAAGATCTGGACATACCAAGAAAACATGCTTCAAACTCCATGAAAGAAAGAATGTTCTCGAGCACATGGGAAACAACAAAGGGTCTACTCAAAGATGGGTAAATCATACTACCTCAGAACAGGAAGCCACCAATCAATCTAGTCCTTCACAGTCTAATCCTCCACCACCACCAGATCTTGATATGAAAGCTTATAAGAAGAATCTCGAGCGCTTGGAAGCAATGGTTGAATGAATGAGTAAGCCCTCTAGATCATGTACTCTGTCCATAAAAGGTAAGATTTGTCTCAATACTGTTGGTCATGTGTCTCAAGGTATTTGGATCCTTGATTCGGGTGCAACTGATCATATGACACCTTTTAGTGGGTCTTTCGACTCATATGGTAAAAGCAATAAAGAACAACTTATTACAGTTGCGAATGGTCAAGGTATACCTATATACGGCTCTGGGAATATAATTTTGGACTTATCTATTGTATTGAAGGATGTTGTACATGTTCCTCAATTAGCTAATAGTCTTATTTCTGTGCAAAAACTCAAAGGATTTAAATTGTTCAGTAACATTTTAACAGCTAAGGAGCAGGGTGGGTTGTAATTTTTAGAGTTTGATGACCAAAGCAACACAAAAATCATGAGTTAACAAGCTACATCTGAGACGTGGGCAAATTCCCAAATATGGCTACATCATCAAAGGCTTGGGCATCCTTCATTTAGTCTTATCAAGTCCTTGTTTTCCCATTTGTTTACGAAGGAGTCTGTTGAGTCTTTTAATTATGATATTTGTCAATTATCAAAACACCATCGTGCATCTTATCCTATTAGTAATAAAAAGAATATTTCTCCATTTGATTTAATTCACTTTGTTGTTTGGGGCCTTGTCATAGATTCTATTTCCGGAGCCAAATGGTTCGTTACCTTTATCGACGATTGTACCTGTGTCACGTGAATGAGGAATGCTTATCTGGATCCCGGGTGATGTCTGCCACAATCTTCTTTAAATCTTCATCTTCTTCTACTTCCTTTTCCACTTCCTGGAAATCCTTCCAGTAAGGCCTCACCATTCCCTTCAGTTCCTTCTCCATCCCTTGACTGTGTTGCTCGGTTCCTTCCTCCACTTCTTCGCTTTCCTTTTGTGACAAAGCGTCAACTACTTTATTAGTGGCTCCCGTTCGGTACACAATCTCGAAATCGTAGCCAAGGAGTTTGGCANTATTAGTAATAAAAAGAATATTTCTCCATTTGATTTAATTCACTTTGTTGTTTGGGGCCTTGTCATAGATTCTATTTCCGGAGCCAAATGGTTCGTTACCTTTATCGACGATTGTACCTGTGTCACGTGAATGAGGAATGCTTATCTGGATCCCGGGTGATGTCTGCCACAATCTTCTTTAAATCTTCATCTTCTTCTACTTCCTTTTCCACTTCCTGGAAATCCTTCCAGTAAGGCCTCACCATTCCCTTCAGTTCCTTCTCCATCCCTTGACTGTGTTGCTCGGTTCCTTCCTCCACTTCTTCGCTTTCCTTTTGTGACAAAGCGTCAACTACTTTATTAGTGGCTCCCGTTCGGTACACAATCTCGAAATCGTAGCCAAGGAGTTTGGCAATCCAATGTTGTTGAGCTTGAGTGGTTATCCTCTGTTCCAACAAAAATCTCAAGCTCTTTTGGTCAGTGTGCACGACAAACCTATGACCCAGCAAATATAGCCGCCAGTGCTGGATCACCATCACCACCGCCATGAGCTCCTTCTCGTAAATCGACTTCCCCAAAGTCCCCTTTGATAACGCTTTGCTAAAGTATGCTATGGGTCTCCGTTTCTGCGTCAGCACCGCTCCGATTCCCACCCCTGATGCGTCGCACTCTACGTGGAAAGGCTGCGTAAAGTCAGGTAGCGCTAGCACCGATGCTGACGTCACCGCTTCCTTTAATCTTCCCATCGCCTCCCTGGCCGCCTCTGTCCAGACGAAATTTCCCTTCTTCAGCATCTCAGTTAGTGGTCTCGCTATCTTGCCGTAATCTCTTTCAAACCTCCGATAGTACCCCGTTAGGCCCAAAAAACCCCTCAGAGCTTTCAACGTCCTTGGTTCTTCCTAGGCAACGACCGCCTCCACCTTTTCTTCATCCATCTCGACCCCTCTTCTTGTTATAACATGCCCCAAACACCTGATCGAGGTTTTCCCGAATTCGCTCTTCTTCCTGTTGGCCACCCACTGCTGTTTTTGTAAGCGGTTCAACACCATCTTCACTTGCTGCAGATGCTCCGCCCACGTAGCGTTGTACACGAGAATGTCGTCGAAGAAGACGAGAACGAACTTCCACAAATACGGTCGGAATAGCTCGTTCATGGCGCTCTGGAAAGTGGCGGGGGCGTTGGTGAGGCCGAACGGCATTACCAGGAACTCATAATGCCCCAAGTGTGTCCTGAACGCCGTCTTCTGGATATCCGCTTCTCCCATTCTGACCTGGTGGTACCCGGCTTTAAGGTCCACCTTCGAGAAATACCTCGCTCCTCTAAGCTCGTCCAATAGCTCTTCGATCACTGGTATGGGGAACTTGTTGGGGACGGTGGCTCTGTTGAGCGCTCGGTAGTCTATGCAAAATCGCCAGCTTCCGTCTTTCTTCTTTACGAGAATCACCGGGCTCGAATAGGGACTTATACTTGGTCGAATAATCCCTGCATGCAACATTTCTGCCACCTGGCGTTCGATCTCCTCTTTCATGACATGTGGATAGCGGTATGGGCGCACGTTGACAGGGTCGGCCCCATCTTTTAAAGTGATTTGATGTCTCTCTTCCCTGTCAGGAGGCAGTCCGCGGGGTTCCTTAAATACCCCCTCATACTGCTTCAAAACTCTCCCCATTTCCGTCTTCTGCTCCTCCGTCAGCCCCTCTTCCCCTCTATCCTCTCGTCCCGATCTTCTGCTTTCCAAGCCCCAAACCAGAGCCCATGTTTCTGCTTCACTCATTTTCAACAAATTTTCTGGTTCAACCACCCTTCTTTCCAACGTCAGATCCTCTTTTATGATAATCTTCTTCCCTGCTTGTCTGAACGACATGGTGGACTTCCCCCAATCTAGTGTGACCTCTCCAAATTTGACCAACCACTCAACTCCGAGGATCATGTTTACTCCTCCCAACTCGAACAAATAGAACTTCTCCTCAATCTCGACTCCCCCCATGTCGACCACCACCCTCGGACAACACCCTCGGGTCTTCTTCTTGTGGCCGTCCCCCAAGCTTACTTGATATGGAAATGTGTCTTCATATCTCGCGCCACTGTCCACCAATATCAGCACGACTTTTTCTCCCACCTTCCCCTATAACTTCAACGTCTTGGGTTGCGTCAGCTCGCCAGCAGAAAACGCCGATAACTCCATGCGGGGTGCCTCCAGCTCTACCTCTTCCCCTTCAACATCCCCTTCTTCATCTTCCGCCAGTAACACCACCCGTAAACTTTTCTTAGGGCACTGGTGCCCTGGTCTAAATGGCCCACCACATCGAAAACACCTTCCTTCTTCTCTGCGTTTCAGAAACTCAGGGTAGGGCAGGTTTCTTGAACTCCGTCCTCGGTTATCACTTCCTCCGTGAGTTCCGCCTCTCATCGGGCCGCCTCCCGTCGCGCTGTCACGTCTTATTGACCCGACGCTCTCGGTCAGGGTCGTTCATGCCGTATTGCTCCTCGGCGATCGGTTCTTACCACCACCGCTCCTCCTCCTGTCATTCGTCCCCATGATGGGGAATTCTTGGATGCCATCCAACCCATCAAACCTAGCCCGCGTAGAGCCTCTTCGACATCTCGCGCCAGTTTCATCGCCGTCATCAAATTTCGTGGGTCGTGCTGTCTAACCTGGCATCGCAATTCCTCTCGTAGGCCCGCCAGAAAGTATCCCAACAACTGGTCATCCGAAAACGCCTTCGTCTGTCTGGCCAGTGCTTCAAATTCTCTCACGTATTCCACGGTGGCTGTTTGCTTGATCGCCGCCATCCTCTCAAAAATGCCGCCACGGTAGCGACTCTCGAACCTGATCAACAACGCTTCCTTGAGTCCCTCCCACGATCGGTCGCTCGCCTTTTCCTTCCAAAACTTAAACCAATAACCGATGCTTCCCTCCATGCTAATATGGGCCAGTTTGATCTTCTCAGGCTCCGCCACCTTCTGTATCTCGAAGAATTTTTCGGCCCTGTTAATCCAATTCAAAGGATCGGGTCCTTCAAAAGTGGGTAACTCCACCCTTCGCCTCCAATTGGGTTGGTTCTCTGAACGCTCCCCATCTCTTTCTCCTTCGGCGTCGTTGCGCCGGACACCCCCATTATCATTGACTGAACCATGGCTCCCGTCAGAGCTCTCCCCGTTTTGCTTGGTTCGCACACCCATCAACCGTAACAGTTCTTGGATGTCTTTATGCATCGCGATTGAGTCTTGCCCGTTTGCCGCTGACTCCGCCTTCAATCCGTCTACGGCCATCTCCAGATGTCCCATTCGTCCTTCAACTACGTTCATTCTTCCCTCCATCGTTCTCGCTCTCCCCAAAACAGATACGGCAGGTCGGACCACTTTGTTAGGAATCTGGGTAAGAATCCTAACTATCTCCCTCACTCGCACACTTCAGTAATTCTCACAAGAAATGGTAATGAGTTGAATTGTATTCACATCAAAGAATCAAGAATACAACTGGAAATCCAGGAGCTTAACCTCCTTCACCAGGTCTGAACAGGTCTACAAACTCAAAGGTAAAAACTGTCTAACTGAAAACAATAAAAGAGGTCCTTTTATAGAGACCCTTTTCCCGCCTCACTTAACTGTTTAGCAGTTAAGTACTCTTCCTCACCTTTCTCCTCTCATAAACCTTCCATGTCCTAACAGGGTCCATCATTTTTAATGGCTAAGGATTACTTGTCATCCTCATGAAGCACTATAAACAATGTTACAGAAGAGAGAAACAAGAGACAATGAAATCCACTTGTCTCAACTACAAAACTGCATGTAAAAAGCATTAAGGACAAGAAATATTTAGATGCCCTAATTACCATATTTACAAATTATATTATGTATGATTACCATATTTGAATACTATGAAACTCTAGGATTTTACTCAACAAATAAATAAGTTGAAAACATGATGATGAGAAAGAAACATACTGGGTCAGAGATTTTATCAAGATCCACTGTCCCTTCATAGGTAGTATAAAAGAAAACGTTATTTGCTGTAACAGCTTCCTTGCCCCTTTGCTTAAACCTGAGCAGATCAACTTAATTTTGTAAACTAGAATATGTATGGAAAAAATGGATTAACTAGCTTATGATAATGGAAAGAAAAGAAAACAAGCAGCAGAGCAAAGCATCAGACATTTGGGTGAAATTGAAACGTAGTTAAAAACCTACCCAAATATGAGGTCAATCCACTCGTGCAAATGAGCAGATACATACTCACTTTCTAGAGCCTTCCGGTGCTTATGAATAAAATCAACGGGACTTTCAGCCCAAGCAGGAAGCTTTACAGTATCTGGCAAAAAAAATCAGAAGTTATTAACCATGATATCACAAATGACATTTTGACACAAGGAAAAAACTGAAGCAGAAAACATAATTTGAAACATACCAAGTTTTCCTCCGGTTTGTGTTGTGCCAAAATCAATTGAATTTTCATTTGTCAGCACCTCAGATTGGTAAAATAGCTCAGGAACCTAAAAAGTGGAAATAAAAAATTGTGAGTGATAATAATTCCAATAAAACCATAATAAACATTCAATATTAATAAAAACATCCTCCTACTGAAAACACATAGCAAAGGTCCGTCCCTACGTAATACAACTACATTCTTAAAATGTGAATTTAGGTTTAACTCAATCTAACAAAACAAGCATGTAAGGTGATGATTTCCTCCACTCACAAACTGTATTTTGGTATTATCCCTAGTCAATATAGTACTTAAGTTTTTCCCAAAATATATAGAACAACCATGTTTTAGAAGTATATACATACCAATTCCTTTACATCACTCATGTCCTCAAGAACTCCATTCCAAGTAGCACAAATATCAGAAAACATTCGATCTGCATGGTCAAATTTTCCACCTTGCAGTTGGATTGCAAGGGTAGTGAACGGTTCAACTCTCACAAGATAATACAAAACCTGTAAAAGATAATAAATATTAGATACTCCACAAGCAGCAACTAAAAAAATCATGCAAGACAACCGAGTTTACATATTGTGATTACTTCTAATGCTTCTGTATTTAGAAAAAAAAGGGTAAAATCAGGCATCAGAGGACATAGTGATTAAAACGAAATGTTCAATGAACTATTTATAAGGTTGGTTCTCCCCGTAATTGATTCACTGAAATCATCCCATTTACTAAAAGACATAGTCTACTGTTCAAAGAACCTAAACAGCTTCCAATTCCAATTCCTCAACCTAATGAAACACTCGTACCCATCTACCACTTATTTCTCAAACAACAGATCGCCAACCAATATTGATAAAATCATAAGTAACCCACTGCCATACTTTACATATACAGAATGTAAAACGCCAAAGCAATTGATTACAAATTATCTGAATGCGAATTCATTAAAAGGCCAGTAATATAATAGTTTATAAAGTTGTCTTTTAAAATCATAGGTGCTAAGAGCAGCCTGTTAAAATTTAAGGTAGATTAATAACATCTGAATAATTTCTCTGTTCAATATGTTAGTATGCTGCAGAAACTATGCTAGCAGCATACCTGGACATACAAAACTCAAACACAACAAAATACAATACAATCAATCTTAAATTTAGATCTGTGTTCAGTTAACAAAATATATTTTTATCACACTATCCACATTGAACTAAATGAGCATACCAGCAATGCTAACAACTTATTTTGATCAATAAGGATACTAGAAATATATAAAAAAAAGGGACAAACTGTTCCGGCACTTGAGTAGTGTGATCCGTAATGGAATTTGGGAATGACTGGATCATCAAAGCTAGTATATCTCTCCTGAAATCTGTTCAGTCGATCAGGATTTAGTGCACCAACAGGCTGTATGACATAAAAAATAAACTATGAAAACACATTATAAATGCTCTTACAATACTTCTAAAAATATATTTCATTATAGAACACCTTTGAAAGGTCTCGATAAGAGGAGGAATTAGACAAATCCAAGCTCTCTGAATTGTAATCGGAAAGAATCCAGGGGAAAACCGGATACTGCCAAAAATTGGTAATGATGATAAATGAAAATCATGAAAATAGGATTAAATAGATTAATTAAATGAAGTAAATTAAAGGGGATGGGGAGGTAACCTGGGTAATATCATTATAACTTCGCCCAGCCAGAGTATTGAGTTGCATTAGATATTCAAAGTTACTGATCTGCACAAAGGAAATACAAAAGTCATGTAGTCATTTACCGAATGGATGAGTACCCAATTATAATGCAAATTATTCTTTTAATTAATGAATCAAGGCTCTTACCTCCCACCTAGTCCAGCGTTCCATGAGTTGAATTCTCTTCAAAAGTTGTTCAGGCCTCTAGAACAAGAAGGGAATTTCTTTAGATTCTTGGACTGCATATAACACAAACGCTATGCTATATATATATATATATATATATATATATATATATATATATATATATATATATATATATATATATATATATATATATATATATATATATATATATAATCACAAATATAAATTGCAGTAAATATCAGCATGAGTTGTATATATTTCGTCAACTTCATATACTCAGATGCAGAAAAATTTAGACAAAATCAACAGAAAGGATATTACCTGAGTAGCCAAATATATATTGTTTAAATGTGGAGGTCTTGCTTGAACAATTGCACGATATGCGTTTCTTCGCCCTTCACCATTCTGAATAGGGAAGTAGAAAGGAAAATGTTAGGCATACTAAACCATTGCTTAGCCTCCACCGCAGTTTAGAATTTTAGAAGAGTTGATCTTTAATATAGTATGAAAGCCTTCAAGACCAAGTGGTCAAGTGTTCCAATCCTTTTCACATCCATTCTCCAAAATTAAATAAAATTTTGGTGTTAAGGTCCAACAGTGTGCATTGTTCACAATTCAAGATCAAAAGGCTCTTGCAAGAATGTAAAAAGCCTAAGCTTTTAAGAGAGTCTTAGACAAGGATTACAGTGTACTGCATTCAACAGTCATAAGTAAAATATTATGAATCATATCAGTGTTAAGATAACCTCAAAAACAAAATGATATTTTTATAGAATATAGCTCCTCTAAACGTAGGTTGTACTTTAGATGATAAAGTATAATTATAACAATTGAATAGAAATTAATGGTTGAGACTTGAGGTTTTGAACAGCTTCTTAGTTTGTCATAGTTGTGTGTGAATTTAATAACAGAACCTTTGATTTTTATTAATCTATGGTTATAACTATAGTTTATTCCTGTAAGTACACAACCTAAAATTAAAGGAACAACTCCTTTTTCTTGAAAATTTAAAGGAAAAAAACAGGTATATTTGAGAAGAAATACCCCAAAATCGAAGAAGAAGTTTGACCGGTCCACCATAAATAACTCCAGGGCACTTCTTCTAAGGAGGTATCTGTAACAGGAATTAACACATATAGAACACTAAAATCATGTTTTAAAAAAGGATGTATACTGCAAATGTATAATAAAAACTATGAGAAAACTTCATGTAGATAAACAAGAAAGAGAACACAATGCTTCACCTCTCAAGAGAGTAAAGTATTCAATTCTTGGAAAAAGAAAACTAAGTTACAAACAACTATGGAGCAAACTTAAACTAATAAAGGATATTCCCTTATAGCTTCATAGACAAATATTAAGCATCAATGGCTAAGTGCAAATTCAACATCTCTAAGGAACATAGAAATGGGAATAAAAAGAAAAACAAATTACTTAATTTAATTCAAAAATAAAAAGGAAATAAGGAACCAATGCCTGATGTCACCCCGGCACATGGTCAACTACATATGTAAATATGGTAATCTTGTTGCACAAATGGTTAAGAGTAAATGAACTTAACTGTATACAATTATCAATGTGTATATTATCATGAGGATATTGAGATGTCTAATGTTAGCTATTAGTGTTATGTGTTCATCTATAATGTTATATTTTTCTGTAGTTGGTTTTAACTATTTTACAGGGGTGTTTGTATATTTTATTTTCTAGATTTATTGCAATTATAGGCAGTTACATTGGTCTGTAACTGTCTATAACCTATCTCAACTGCTATGTAACTTCTTCTGGTCATTTATATGTTCTGATAATACAGCCTATATCTTTTCCAGTCACACAACTGTCAGTTACTATATTTTAATTATTCTTTTCATCATCTTCGTCAAATTCTATTATGGTATCAGATTTAGTTCATGATCCACAATGGCCGATCCCAATCCCAATCCCAATTCCCTCCCTTCTCCCTCCCAGAACAAATTCTATTATTAGCTGAGTTTGTTTCATAAGTGGCTAATAGTTTCATACTATTATCACCATCATGTAATTAATACATGTAAATATCACTGCTTAGTCTCAAAAGTGGTTAAGAGAAAATGAACATGAATTTATACTACATTCATATGTGGTTTATAATAACATGAATCACTGTTTTTTGCTGTATGTAGAGAGGTCATAGGCTGTGTGTACCCTTTTCACTTTCCTTTCATGGAGAAAAACACAATTCTCGAATGACAAAAATAAATGAATCTCCCAACATCACATTCTTATTACTAAGAAAAACTCAAATCTCAAATAAGTGAGGACAATATCACCTTACAAGCAGATTTAGTAAGGTTGTGTTAGGCCTAAACAATTTGTAAGATGGTATCAAAGTTTATCCTAAATCTATTAGAAGGGCCACTAACTATATCATCTACATTTCAAGCCCAATAGTGTTATAAGTGAGAGGGTGTATTGGGAAAAGTTAAGTCCCACATCAAGTAGAGATTGTGTCACAATACAACATATAAGTGAGTACAATCCTCACTTGAGAAGCTAATTTTCTAAGATTGAATTAAGCCTAAATTGCTTTGTAAGACCTCTATTTATTTCTTTGCTACCCAACCTCTAATTAATCAACAAGTATGCTAATTGTCTTAATTACTGAACTCAACACACACTGTACTTGAAACGACAAAATACTAAACGGCAACAGAATGAATAGAAAATAGTATGGTCTACAAAATAAGCCCACCTCCGACTATAAATTTGATGAAGAGATGACATTAGCCAGCTGCGATCTTTTTCTTGTTTCCCTGCCTCAACATTGGAATTAGAACCATCCAATGTGGTGCTAGTCTCACTGTTATCAACTATAAAATTTATCCTCTTATTGGTTACCTACAATAAGAGAATAATGCGTTACATGAGTGTTATTACCTACATTAGACAAGGAAGTCACTGAAATTATGCTAATGAATTTGTTCTAAAATATTCTAAAGAATTTTTTCTAAAATAATGTTTCAAAAACTAATTTAAAATCTTATTTGATATACCATTTTTCTTTATTTTAAACTTATTTACTTATGAAGAATTCAATTACATTTTTGCGAGATAGTATCATCTATAATAGTGATCTTTGTAAATCTATTTGATTTAAAGTATAATTTTCCGCACTCGAGGAGAGAACGACCATGCTCCATAAAATAAACAAGGGAGGACAGAGAATAAGAAAGACATAAATAAGACAAGGACGACTGTGTGAGGCATGATCCAAAGCTTTTGAGAAGTTGGGAATTGGGATAGAGAATAAGGAATGTGAGATATATAAGCTTTTCAAAAATATGGAAAGGAAATCAAGTTATCTGAACCATATTGAAGAATAATTGGAGAACTATTATTTGTGTAAATGATTCAGTTTAACTGAGAAATAAAAGGAACCTGTTAACTTTAAACTTTAGAGCTTCTAGGACAAAAACTGATACCAAATGATTTTGGTATGTTGCAAATGATTGATGAGCATGGGGGTACCAACATAGGTTCTAGTTGGGATCGTAAGCTATATAGTGATGCTCTTGCATGCCTACCTTTCTGTCATAAAAAAGGGGCAGAAAATGGGAACAAAGGTATTTTTGGATGAGCAGAAGTGAAACGAGCATAAAGCATTGCAATTTCAGCACGAAACAAGAAGAAAATGACTCTGGGGATAAAACTGGAGAGCCATGCCACAAGATTCTAAATTTAAGTATCTAGTGTCAATATTACAAAATGAGGGTAGATTAATAAAGATGTCACACACATGATAGGATTCAAGTTAGGTGACGAAAATGGGGAAAGGCAGAGGTTATTTGTGAGCACAAAATTCCTACCAAGCACAATGGGGAGCTTAATTATATTGATATATGACCAATTAAAATGTATTATGGCCCAAAGGATTCTACATTGCAGAAAATCCAAATCTTCAAATCCACCCTGTAATTTGTGCCAGAAACATAGCTGGGAGTAGAATGACAGCATTGCCAAGGAAACAAGAAAATGAGGCAAAAGGAAGGGTCATGACTATTTTTGTAAGTGTTCCATATTAGAGGAGTTCTATTTATGCACCACTTGTTCTATTTTTTGGTAATTTTGGGGATATAAATATGGTACACAAAATCTACGATCCTGCAAAAGCAATTTCATCAGGATAATTTCAGTATCAAAGGATATCCACATTTTTAACTAAATAGATATTTAATAAGATTATATTAAATAAGGCCCATAAAACTTACTTGAAAGGTTCCCCGAATGACCTTTAGTGGTCGGACCATTGATGAAGGTAGCTCAAGAACAATTCTTTCATCAAGTTCACTAGGTACATACCCAGGTGCAATGGCTGAAGAACTCTGCACAAGTTCTTCATCACTTGCATGTTGAGTAGCACCAGACTCTAGAGATGCCTGAACAGCTTGATCAGTCATTTCAGACAGTCTAGTCTGATTGTCTCCTTTATCATCATCACTGACCCTAGTATTCAGGTTGTCAGTTTCCACCTGTTCTTCATCTTCATTGACTGTCTCCAATGAGATTGCTTCTGCTGACAAAATAGGAGTGTGCTGGTCATTTTTCTCCCCAAAATAATCCTCATAATTTGCAGCAGAACCTAAATGATCAGAGCCATGGTAATTCCTCCTCAAACATCTTCTCATCCTTGAAGAACCTTCCATTAGATCTAGCTTCCAGAAAACCTAGAGAATTTATAATAATTAGTATAATGAAATAAACACAAAAATTTTGCTATTTCACATAGCTTTACTAGAAAATAGTGCAAGTAGGCCCGATAGTATAACCTCCAATTAAGGCCTAACAAGAAAATAGAAAGAAAAAAAAGGATAACATTAAAGAAATAGTCAAATTCTTTGAAACCCAAAGTCTGCCATATATATGTCAGCATCACATTACAAAAAAAAAAAGATATAATTTGTTCCCAAGGTTTTCTGATTGTCACAGGAACAAACAACAAGAAACACGAAGCATGTTTCATAGTCACTTTGTCCTCCCAAAAAGAGAATTCATGGTAGAAAGAGATGAGATGCTATAAAAAATGAGTTTGGTAATGACAATGTGAAGAATAGTATCATAACATACACAAGGTGGACTGTATAAATGATCTGCAAAAGGCCCAAAAAGACTTTTCATTTCTATTAACTGGTGAATAAGTTTGCGCCATGCACGGACTCCTGTACTGATTCGATGTCGACCAATTACATCTACATAGGTACGCCTGTCAATCTGGAAACCAAGAAAGATTTAACATGTGGTTTCTCCATAATCTGAACTTCAAATAAACAATTAGCAAACAAACCTCAGACCGTTGCATGTTCCTTGCTAGGGCAAAACTGGCAACAAGCACGGCAATGTATTTATATGAAAAGGCATTGAAGTCTTTCCCATATACTGACTTTGTATCAACAGGGTGCAAACATTCCATCCAGGCAACTCCCATTGCTTCAGAAATATTCCATCTCTTTACCCGCTCCATATCACTAGCATTTCTTCGCTGTGCAGCTGTGGCCATTGCAACAGCACTAAGACCTCTTCCAGAACCAATTCTAGAAAATCTCTCAAGATCACGAGCAGCTGCCAAAGCAGCAGCTTTTGCAGAGGCTTTGTCCTTTGGTAGGGGTGATGTTTTATTCGTGGCTTCCAAAGGTTTTTGAAAGCTTGAAAATGTATGGAGTTTAGTCTGTTTTCGTTCCATCAATGAAGTATCACGCTTAAGATGGGAAGTTGCTGTAGGAGGATGGCTTTCACCACCCGAAGTACCTGCCGCAACCATAGCCATTGCCATTGAAGCAGGTGGAGATGCAAAAGCAGCAGCCCAAGCAGGAGATATCATAGCAAGAGCAGCCTGAAACAAATACTAGTCACTGAATGCATATCTCAATGAATAAAAAATTAGCATCATAATGAATGTTTTAGCTATCATTATTGTAGTGACAAATAAGCAAGCAGACAACAAACAAAGCCAAGAAACAAAAACTAAAGAACATACAAATGTAATGGTTTTGCATTTATCTCAAGTAACAAAAACCCTTTTTTATCTAAGGTTGGTGGCACCATTAAAAAACCATAAAGTAGAAAAATAGGCTAAATCGTAATTTTGGTCCCCTAATTCCTTTTCCCCTTCAATTTTAGTCCCATACATACATCGTAATTTTAGAAAATCTTTAATTTTGGTCAAATCCTCACTTTTGTGTACATTGATTTCTTTTGCTTTTAACATTTTAATGAATTAAAATACCTTTTCATGGTACCTTCAATGAAAACATTAGGTCTAGGATTCAATTTGACCCCAAAAAAAAAGCACCATGTAACTGAGGATTTGACCACAATTATATTTTCTAAAATTTTGAGCCTAAAATCAGTGAGACCAAATCAAACATAAGAACTTAATGGGAAACCAAATGTGTGTGAATCTACGCATTATTTATATTGTTGAAAATATAGGGTTTTAGGTCTTGAGGGAGGACATTGGAGAATACAGACTTTGTATAATAACTCCTTGAGTATTATTTTATGCATTACTAAAGAAATAAAACACAATAAAGAAACAAGATAATCTGAGATTGTCTAAGATACTCCAAATATGATACAATTCAGAGATAGAATGGTTTACGCAAAACGAAATAAAGTTACATTAACCATTGAATAAAATTCAGTTCAAACTGATTGAAATCATTTATTTATTGATGATGGGCCAGATGATAAGCTGGTACCTGACCACTAAAGTTACTGTTAGGATATTTATCCTATTTTATCATCATTATATTGTGTCAAGGGTTACCTTATTTATCATGATTATATTGTGTTAAGGGTTACCCTATTTATCATGATTATATTGTATCTAGTATTACCCTATTTATCATGATTATATTGTGTCTAGGGTTACCCTATTTATCATGTACTTTTGTATCAATTTAATCTTATAAATAGAAGATTATGAGAGCGATCAATCAAGCCCTCTAGAATTATTTTACAGTTTAATTCTTAAGTTGGTATCAGAGCGGGTCGATCCCGCTTTGGTTTCTGTCTCGTAATATCTGTTCGGCGCCACAGTCCGTCGTCGCCC